TTACTACAGTGGGAATGTAAGTCCGTGTGTAGTATCTACCAACTCAAGAGTAAAAACAAGTCCTACTACAGTGGGAATGAACAATCGTAAATCTATTCTTCCTATGGATGCTTTTAAATTAATATGATACATAATGACTCTGCTGTTTATAAGATGAACATTTTTATTGATATAGCCTCTACATTTCTTTGTATAACTATGATCCACTTTATTAAATGGCTCCTCTATTCTCCTGATTGGTCATGATTTGAACAAATTTCAAACAACATTACCTTTTCTGATGCTTTTATATTAGTGATCAGTCATGGCTTTCTTGTTCTTGTGAATAATATTTACGATTTTCCCTTTGTATTCCTTTATAAAATCTTGATCATCCATTGTGGTCCCATTCTACCCCGGGGGTCATGATGTGAATAAAATTGAATCTTAACCACCGGGGATGCTTACATATAAAATTATGAACAATCACAGATTTTTAAAGATTATTCCTATCTATTCTTATGTATTCTTGTATAAAATCTTGATCACCCATTGTGGCCCCATCCTACCCCTGGGGGTCAGGATTTGAACAAAACTGAATCTACACTTCCAGAGGATGCTTCATTATAACTATGATCAATCATGGCTTTGTTGTTCTTCAGAAGAAGATTTTTAAAGATTTCTCCTATATGTTCCTATGTTAATCTTTGATTACCCATTGTGGCCCTACCCCATCCCTAAGGATCATAATTTGAAGAAATTTGAATTTACACTTCCCAAGGATGCTTCTATATAACTATGACCAATCGTGGCCTTGCTGTTCTTGAGAAGAAGATGTTTTCTTATGTACATTGTATTCCTATGTTAAACTGTGATACCCCATTGTGGTCCCAGCCTTTGAACAAACTTGAATTTACGCTTCCTGAGAATGCTTCCACATAAGTTTCATCTTTCCTGGCTCAGTGGTTCTTGAGAAGAAGATTTTTAAAAGATTCTTCTATTTTTTCACTAATTCATAATTATTTCCTCTTTGTTTGCGGACATAAATCTTCATTTCCATAAACTTGAATCCCATTCACTAAGGTTACTTTGTGGCAAGTTTGGTTGAAATCAAGCCTAAAAACAAGTCCTATTAAAGGTGTGGTTGGCTTTAAAAAATGTAAAGGATTTGAAAAAACTAGTGATGCATATTCTATTTTAATACCAAACCTATCTTGAATGGGAAAGCAAGTACATACCAGTATTACTTTTATACATCCTAGTGATTTTTAAAGAAAATAATATTTACAGCGGAATTCAGTATAATAATTGCAGACAATCACAATACTAAATACTCAGGTCATTAGAGCCATAAGGGGCACCTGTTACTTATTCAAAATTTCCATTTCTTCATTTGATTCTTATCTTAAGTCCATAATCAGTCAGGGGGGAGACTGAAATCCATCACATTTAAAAATGATTGATAATTGTCAGTTCTTCTTAAGTATATAATGTACATGTTTTTATTATTTTTGTAAATATGACCTTTTTTCATCACATTTCCATTCCAAGTGAATTTCTCCATTTTATTTACTACGGTAATTGGATATAGTACACTATTCTGCCCTAGACCCATGTGAAGACAAACATCTTGCCACGTAATTAAAACCATAATAATTTACTCAGTAATGTGCCCCATAAAACTAACAAGATAATTAAGTGTGCCAAGGCCTAACAATTTGATAAAAAAAATGATGAAATACAGTAATATTTAATTTCAGAGGTAACTCTATTTTCTAAAATAAATTCTAAAATAGATATACCATTGCTTTTCATTATTATTCTAAAAATGATGAATTTAAGTCATTATTAAAAATAAATTGATGACTCGAATTCATCATTTTTTTTTAAAGATGGATTTCAGTCACACCCCCAACTGTTAATAGAGTTGCTACAGGCATTTATAGCAGTTTTTATAAACATACTTTTGAATTCAAAGAATGAAAAGGAATGTCTTTTTGAAATGCATATACATATACAATTAATTACAGTTCTAGTAATTGCTTTAAGCATGGCCCATGTCAGATTCTGTAAAAAATGGTTTAATAAAACCAAAAAAAAGGACAATAATATTTTGTGATAAAGTTGCCTGTTTTTATTTTGATTAAGAGTTATTCCTCTTGTACTAATTTAAACTTTTAACTGCTTTACTTTGGGAAAAGACCCTGACATTTTAAGAAAGCAAATTAATATTGATTGCTTTGTTTCATTGGTATTAATATGATCATTCTTTTTAAATAATTAGTTTCAAAAATCTAGAGAAGTTGGTACGAATTTGATCTTTTGGATACTAATTATTTTCATGCATCAACTTTGATTTGATGTTCATTTAACTATTTTGTTTGTAGAAACCTTCCAACATTCTAGACGTTTAAGAATTCCTCAAAAAATACATTTTCGTTGCATATTTTCGTTTAATCATTTGTGCATCTCTTCGAAAAAATGTAAATGACAAATAAACCAAGAAATTAATGCATGTTAAGAAATATACTGTAATTATAAATGATATCTGATAAATGTACTTGCTGGGAAATTAATAGCAAACTACACACAAATTATTGTAGCAATCTATTTTATTTTCCAGGGAACCAGAGTTTAAACTGTAATTGTTGACATTGATAAAAATAAACTTGTTTTATATACCATCTTTCTGGTTCCCATGCATTAGTCCCCTACAGTTGATAATCTTCCGGTCTTCAAATTTAGACGCTGTTTTTCCTTTTAATTAAATTAGTTGAATTGGCAAGTTTTTTTTTTTAAATATTTAATTAATTAGATTAAGATTTCAAATACACCGTGTGTGGCATGGCATGAGACACAAATAACATTGAAACGCAGACAAAGAAAACAGAGAGTTACAAATGTTTGCAAGAATCAGCGAAATAGCAAACAATTTTCAAAGGAATTAAAATAAATAATGTTGCTGTCAGATATTTCTTCTTTTCTAGACGAACCATGTGATTTGAGACATTACTGCAGGCTGCTGATCAGGAAATGTTTGGGAGCCGGAAGACTTAAGTATATACTGGAACTTCCGGTACCCAAACTACTCCATCAATACTTGCGACTTCGGGTGCTAGTCCTCCAATGGAATTGCTTTTACTATATGTTATTTCGATTGTTGCTGTTTGTGCGAGGACTCTTTTGTTTGAAGAAAGGAATAATAAATTTGTCAAACAAAAGTAATGAATGTCTCGTAAACTATCTACCGTGTCCTCATCCTTACTTTTTCGTAAATAAATTGCTATGAAGAAGGATATGGAGATAACGAACAGTATTCAATATCAAAGTCCATAAACAATAAAAATGGCAGAAAAGCAAACACGGACCTCCGAAACATCAGAGCTGTGATCAGGTGCTATGGAGGAGTGAGCATCCCCTGCTGACCGGTCACACCCGCCGTGTGTTCCTTGTCATAATATGGAAATAACGGAAAAATCCCTCGAACCCGAAACTGCAGATGAATTGCGCTACAGTATACTCAAAAAGTTACAAACAAGGATTTTTGAACGCCCAAGAACTTTTTAAAAATTTGGATTTTTTGCATATGGAGCTAATGTCTCCCAAGTGCATATATATAAGTTCAGAGAAATATATCTTGATACATATAAATAAAAAGAGCAGGTCTTCTTCGAATGGATCAAAAGTTGACCACTTATGGAATTTCTAATAGAATATACTTTTTCCAACTGTTAAATACTAGATTAAGTGCAGTAGTGTTACTACATGTACATACAGTATACAGTTCATGCATGTTATCTGTACAATAAAATTCAAAAGAAAATATTTCACTTATCAGAAAAGCAGTCACTCCTTTTCAGTTCTTGCTATGCTAAAAAAGAAAAACAACATGTTCATTTATTTTATTGATTACGCATACAATGCATACCTCATGACATGCTTTTAATTTTTTGCTATGTACAAATATTAGGTTAGTTTGATCAAATTATATCATTACTTCACGAGCCAATAACATAAGGATATGGAGATGACGAACAACATTCAACATCAAAGTCTATAAAACAATACAAAATAGGAACGGAGGAAACACGGACCTCCAAAACATCAGAGGTGGGATCAGTTGCTATGGAAGAGTGAGCATTCCCTGCCGACTGGTCATACCCGCAGTGTGCATCTGACTCCTCAGATAGAGGAATAATATTGATTTGTTTTTGTTTTTGTTTTTTTTAACATATTTCCTTTATTCTCATTTGTGTAGCTCTGTGTATGCTGTTTATTGGTTCTTGTCTGAGAGATTGTTGGTATGAGTATAGAGCAGCCTCAAGGTTCCCTGTCACCTGTTGACAGATCCCCAGAATCTACCACGATATATCTCTGTTATCTAATTATATAAGCTCTCCCTGATCACAATGAACTAGGGTCTGTAGATCATCTAGAGCTGTTTGTGCTCTCATTGTGTCTACATGTCTGTAGTACAAGATTTCTAGCATGTATATTAGTATTAATAATGGGACAATACCCGGTATATGCAGGGAATTGGTTCTGTAGAGCAGACTGTTGTTCTTGTATCAATTCATTGATGTAATGGATTTCATTTTCAAGTTCAATATTCCATGCTACAGCATGTCTCATCTTTGTAACCCAAGACTGTCCCCCTTAAGCCTTAGTACAGTGGACCCTCATTTATCCGGACGCTTTGGTTCCCAGTCCATTTGTCCGGATATGTGAAGCATCCGGATATCTGAATCACCAATAAAATAAGACAACACAGCATTTAAAAATTTCGTTCCGATGAAAAATCCTCCGGATACTGAAGCATCCGGATATCTGGCGTCCAGATATCTGAAGGTCCACTGTATACCTGCACTGCTACTTTAAAGTTATTTATCAGATATGGCTGTGCTAACTTAGTGTTAATCATCTCTATAATAGATAAAGAAAACTGCTGTCTTCATGTGATAGGAACACAGTAAGTTATCATCATCACATACTCCCTCGTTAATTATTTCTGTTAAGAACAATTAAAGTAAGCCGTAGGTTAAAAATTGACAGTGGTTCATTGAATACACTAGTTTTTGTTCTGCCAGAGAGAAGGAAATTCTCCATTCGTGGTTTTCATGTCTACCTAGCTTATGTCCAACTGCTACAAAGTGACATCGATTTCTCACTATATCATTCACAACATGAGGCTGTGATTGACATCTATCTATCCATGAGGAGGCAGATGGAAGCCATAAGTCACTAACAAAACTGTGAGCATTATCATAATCGAGTTTTCTAAATGTTCCACTGGAACATGGTCCATGTGGAACAGTATGACGAGGTGATGCAGAACACATAATCTGTCGGTATTTAGAACTAGATATATAATGCCTGTTATAAATTCTGACACAAACTATTTGGGCAACTATGTTGGTACTTGGTGACAGTAAATACAACAAAGTGTACCCTGGTGGACTATCAGAACAGTCACAGAGGATCAGTGTTTGTCTGTGTGTGTTGTAATACTGAGACTGAGATAATTCCCAGATCACACGGTGATTATTTGGCCAGAACATCATGTCAACATCTGATCCTTTCAGTCTGAATCCCTCTTTGTAATTTCCACCTAGTAATACACTATACCCATCATCTGTTCTCACTTTCTTTTCCATCACATCATTAATATCCAACACATCCCTCCTCATAGCCACCAGTCGTGAGGTCCCCACTTTATGACACAAAAAAATAATATTTTGTTGTCCGGAATGTTTGAAAATACTGATTCAGATGGGGGGTTTTTCCATAAAAATATTACTATCATTGAAACGTACATTGTGAAGTTTTAGCAGAGTCCATTTTTACACGAGAGACCAAGAAAGTTTCAGGTGCAAAATTAAGTACAGTAAGCAAATTGGGAGATTTATACCCCTGCTTTTAAAGTCTCATATCTTGGTTGAATTGCCAGATTTATGGCATTTTGTACCTGTTCTCTCTGCCCTGGATTGTTTATCTAGCATGCAATGAAATGTTTAGTATTTTAGAAAAAATTTATTTGATTCAAAATAATGGTTACATGCATGTCATAATGCACCACAATTTAATTCAATTTCCCTCTGACTTTCCCATATGAAATAAAACATCCTTGATGGACTTAAAGACCATCAGTTATTCATGTATTAATTATATGTCCTGTCTGAACTTTTTTGATTTCAAAATGTACACTATACAATAGTAAGTGCTTTTTACTTTTTTGATAATCTTTTGATGTAGACTCATCATGGATGAGTATTGTTTTCAAAAATAAACAAACAAATAAATAAACTTGTGTAATATATGCTATTATTTGCCGGGCGTGGGGGTTGGGTCTTCAGATGACTGAAATTTCCTTACCAAATAAACATAAAGAAAAATAAATTGGAGAAAACACTGTTACAACGCCAAATGTAATTTATACACAAAATGTAATAAATCGAGATCATTGCATTTTGCGTCGAAATCAACGCAGGATATAATAACGCAAAATTTGAAAATACACTTTTTGGAATATTACACTTTGCATTATTATTGGCCGCAGCAGCGGCGGATGTATTTGTGGTTGTGTTAGAAAGTGCACATGGGGAAATGAGATGTTATTTTATTAGTTCAGTAAAATAATTATCAAATGATAACATGTTTAAAATCATGAGTAAAATATTTTGAAAAATTGCTTTAAACTAAGCTTTAATCGTTTTTATTATATTTCAGTTTCATTATCATTTAGCATCACATAATTTATAATTTATGGTTTAAAAATTTGTTTACAATAAGTACTCCCCATCCAGCCTGGGAGTGTGTAAGATACAAAAGGAAATCATCGTGATTTCCGAATAATAATGACGTGCACGTGGTAAGAGTGCATGGTAAATAAAAAAATTGAAAAGTTTCTCAACTAATAAAACTTGCATGAAAATCCTACAGCTGCGAATGACAGGAAGATTATTTTTTATACATTTTGCACGGTGCCATGCAGCATAGCCTACTTTGTAGAAAACATACAGGAACTATCCCGTGACAAAACCCAGGATATCAGCACGTGATTCATTTTGAAAGGACTACATCTTCAATTAGATGCCAATAATTTCTCATATATTCATCATTGACTTATTTACATCAATAATTCCATTGGATGAGCAAATGCACTAAAACTTCTATTAACTGTTTTAAAATATTTATTTATTTATTTTGCTTTAAAAACGGCATGAAATATTCCAACTTTGAATATTGTGTGCTTTCCTGGCATGAATGCTTTGAATTTTGAAAGTACTTTTTTGGGGACAACTGCACTTTACCGGTACGTACAAATTAAATGGAAATAGCACGTGCTCTCTCTCTATAATAGAGTCACGCGTTAGCGTGACGATTTTGCTAAAAATGCAATAAAATGCAAAAATAACCCATTTTTTGAATTCCTCTTCATTTTTTAAGTTAATAAACTTCGCTTAATTAACGAAGTTATTAATTAGAAATGAAAGCATTTTCAAAACAAACCATTCACTTTCATTCTGTCGGCCACATTTTTAAGTCATGACGTTGTTAAGCACGTGACTTATTTCAGTGCTGTGATTGGTCAAGGTAGGTGAGTGGAATAGAAAGTTAGACTTCCACTCTATACGATTGTAAACAGTGATTCAGCGTGCACATTGTTTACGATGATTTTTATTGTGTTTTTTATGAATGGAGATTTTTAATTGACTGGCTGCAAAATTCTGGACTTCTTGGGAATTTTAGAGATAAATATGCCCCTTAGTTGACGGAAATGTTTAATCAGTGAAAGGACAAAACTTGTAAACATGCAGTGAGAACGGTCTTGTTTGAAGATACAGCAATCGGCAGTAGGTTTATCAGAAAAATGAAACGTTTGAGACACATCTTGGATTTTTAAAAAACAGATGATGCAGTTAATCTAACATACCCCTGGATTTACGAACTAAAGTACCCGGAGATTTTAATTTGCAAAACACTGGCTATTTTACCAACCATAATATTGGGACTTCATGGAATGAGTCAGGAAATCGCTGCAAAAACAAGACTGCAAAACGACACTATGATAGAAGCTTTAATTAAATATTGACGATAAATTTACCTCCTTCATCACCCATAAACTGCAAAAAAGACACACTATAAAGTTGTACAGCGCAGATTTATTCAGCGACTAAGGTAATGTTTTTATTTTTTATTTATTTATCGTAAGTATTCGGGGCTTCCGCCCCCAAACCCCCGCTTAATAATGCGAGAACCCATTGAGATATCTTTTTCTCTCGCTTCGAAAGTTTCTTACACAACAAAATGGCGTCGCCCATCATAGTTGATACGTTGCTAAGTTTTTACGCCGCGCAATCTCACGCGCGGATCTAGAATCAAAATGGCGACCGTACTGGTAAAGTGCAATCTATCCCTTTTTTGACATGCTAAATATGTTAGCAGCCGATTTGATGCTTTGCATCAATTTTCCTTGTTACATTTTGTGTCGAAATAAACGCGAAATGTAATAACGCAATATGTAATAAAACGATTTTTGGATTATTACATTTTGCGTCGAGATGAAGCAAAAGGCAATCAAACATTTAAAAACAAATCTTTAATCTTAAATAGAGAAAGTGTAACGGGATAAAAAATTTTTATTCCTTTAAAGGGAAAGAAAAATGCGAAAATCTTCACTGTTTTTCCATGATTAAAAGTTATAATGTTATGATTACCTTCATATTAAGCTTTTCCAATCCTATTTTGAATGTTTTAATGATACCGATTGTTATCTCCATCTATTTCATTAGACAGTCGAAAATTTGTGATAAATATTTTGAATGCATGTTTAATAGACTTTGATAAATAATACTGTAAAAAAAAAAGATCTTTAAAATGTTCCCTAACAAAAAAATACTATGGTAAACTATAGTTAATTATAGTTTACTATAGTTAACTATAGTACCAAAGTAAAAACTTTGGAACTTTGATTTACTACAGTGAAAACTTTGGAACTTTGATTTACTACAGTGAAAACTTTGGAACTTTGATTTACTATAGTAAAAACTTTGGAACATTGAATAACTATGGTATAAACTTTGGAACTTTGATTTACTATGGTAAAAACTTTGGAACTATGATTTACTATGTGAAAACTTTGGAACTTTGATTTACTAAAGTAAACTATAGTTAACTATAGTAAACTATAGTTTGCTATAGTTTACTTTATTATTCTTCTGTTAAAATAATTCCTATATAAAGTTCAGAAGGTAAAATAACTATTCTTCATAGTCTGAAAATTTCCCCGCATAGAAAGCTATACCCCGGGGTATAGTTTTTGCTACCCACCCCTCGGAAAATTTTCATGCAATTTTTGACGCCAATTTTAATTTCCAGCGTTAAATCCATAATCTGATGATGTCATAATGACTTCGGTAGCATTGTGGCGTCATCAGGATTTCAGCTTATTCTTGCAGTATTATCTAATTCCAAAGAAAATTCAAACCTTAGAAATTATAATATACATCAGTATAATAAAACACTTATCCACTGGTTGTAAGTGGGATAGCTCTTTCATCAAACCCTTGACAGAAACTATTCCCCTCGGGCAATCCCTCGGGGAATAGTTCCCTGTCGCGGGTTTGATAAAAGAGCTATCCCACTCACAACCATTGGATAAGTGTATAATAGTATTTTTTTGTTAGAGTTGTTACAACTTTCCCGTAGTGGAGATTTTAATTATGTGAAGGACTAAATCTACATCTCTTGGCAATTTGGCAAAAGGAATCAGCCTCTTAATTGACTTCCTGTGTTGTACTTAATTTTTCTTGTTGGCTTGTCTTACTTATTTTGATATTGAATACTATAATTAAAACTTATTTGATATTGTATAATATAGCCAGAACAAAATATTTATTTGAAAAAAATTATTTTAATTTTTATATTCAGACGGTCTTGTGCCACTTACACATGACAATCAATTCTTTAGAATATTTATTAAACATACACTAATTTGTTTTGATGTTTTATTAGGCTGGAACATTGTTAATCACCCATTGTTAATATACAATACACAAAGCTACAGATAGTCCTTAGTTAATTAAGCTTTAACATAACCAGTTTAAAATTACATGATGTATAATTTATTTGTTGTAAATAATACCTACACCACATGAGATATATGTATATCAAACATTTTGAGGATTGGAAAAAATCATTGAAATCTTTGAATCAAGATTAAAATAATTTTACTTGCACGCTACCAGGTATTTATGATAATATTATTTAACAATATTGAATGGACGTATCATGCTGTGGTGGGGCACTTTATTACCTTTATAGAAGTAAAAAGGACTGAAAAAATAAAAAAAAATAAATCAGAAGTAGATATATGTAAATAATAATCTCCATCAGATGAACTAGTACAAATGTCTTACAATTACCCCCGGTAATTAATTGAGGGATTCCATTGACAAATTTCTTGTATTCTCATTTCTGTAGCTGCGTATACACGATTCTTTGAAACAAGTTTGACAGAGTTCTCGTGCTTTGTCACACGGCGGCGTTGTCGTCGGTCGCCATTACGGTGCTGATAATGTGATAAGAGTGACAGTAAGCACTACGAATAAACGGGTGTTAAATGCATTGTTTTCTTTGTTTTCCACAGTCATACATGCTGAGAAACAAGTGGAAAAGTGTGTTGGTATAGTAAATAAATCTAACGAAGTGATATTCACGTGTGTGTTTTAAAATCAAGTTTTCAATTTCATTTTGTTAGTAAACAACCAGTAGTTTTCCGAAACCTTTTTTTTTATTTGATGTTTTGTATATAATTTTATACACCATGTGCTGGTTTAGTCAATAAAAATTAAATAGAAATAATTAACAATGACAAAGAAATTGAGACAAAATTATTATTTTTTTTTAAATATATAAATATTTCGTGTTTAACATTTGAATAAAAAAATATATGTCAGTCGAGAAAATCTAGACGACTGCATACTATTAATTTAATTTTACTTCATGGATATTGATTTATTTAATAATCTATATAGAGTTATACTAAAAAAAAATAAATAAATACGCTCTATTGTTCTTTATCTGATTTTAATTACAGTTCACATTCGCCTAATGGCTATACACATGTATATGAACAGCCCGCCTGCCGAGAAAATCATTTTACGCATTTAGAAAAAAAAATGACTTAGGCCTACTTTCATATATAATTAATATTTAAAACATTTGAGAAGGAAAATTAAACAGATTATTATTTTAGAGTGTGCTGCAATATTAAACACGATTATCGTTTTATGAAATGATTCCACACATGTGAAATCACTTAGAAAAAAAAAACTTTAAAAATGGGAAGTTTAGCCTTGCGTGAGCATTTAACTGACTTGTTGCATGCTCTTCAAAATCAGTCCTTGCTTTATGAATAACATCTTCAACCTTTTTTTTTTAACTAAAAAGATGAATTGATTATAAATTTTATCACACACTGACAGGTATTAATAAGTTTTAAAATATGTACTAGTATACTTAGTAAATTGATGTATAAGTAACTTAAAACTTTCTCCCCAAGTCCTGTACAAGAATCGAGGAAAAACGGAGAAAATTAAATTTTTTTAATTCATTAGTTCTGGATTTATCATAATACTGGTATAATATTATAGGCGTCGGGGGCAAACTGAAATAGAAAAGGAAAGAAGGCACGGGAGGGTGAAATCTTAAATATATCATAAATGATTTTCTTGATCTACCTGTAATAATATTGAAACCATGCGCATGTAGCCCTTCAGAAATTTAGACAAAAATATTCACAATGACAAATGTAGATCTGTGTCGGGCCTGAAAGAAATTTTGTCGTCACTTATAAATTTTTTTTAACGCCCATGGCACGCAGATTTTTTTTTAATGTGAAAAAATAGAAGGGGTAGGTTGTATGTTTCACTTATATAAAAAGGAGAAGATTAGTCGACAACTCGCCCCTCTTTTAAATATCCTAGTTGTTCGTTTTCCAATACCCCACGAGGACCCATGGACCTAATGCATAATTTAACACGTATAGTTTATCAATGAACTAAGTGGGAGAAAATCATCGCAAAAATTAAAACATGAATAATAAAAAGTTTCAGTCATACATTTGTTTGCATTTGTATGCTAATATTTATTTTCAAAACGGATTTACAACTCACCTGTTATAATTTTTCTCGAGACCCCCCCCCCCTTCACTGTGTAAAAGATCTGACATTCTTACTTATATAAGTTTTTGCCTTTATAATCTTGCTAAAATTTATTTCAAAGAAAACCCGGCGTAATATTCATTAAACCTCCACAATACGGATAAAATTTAACCAACTCGGCCTTTAACAATATAACAATCAATCGATCAGTATTGATTTTCAAACATTAATTTTAATTATACGAATAATGAAGAAAAAAAGACCAAATAAAAGAATGAATCAGTTAACTTTGACTTAATATAAATGCGTGTTTGTATTAGTATTACGCCAATAAATTGATGAATAACGAAGAAAAGTTACTGCATTGAGTATGACCGAAATGTGACGTTATCAGCACCTTAATGGCGTCAAGTCACGTGATCCAAACATGGCGGCGCCCATAAATAAGGTCAGAGAATAGAGTATATTTTGTGGCGAAGTGGTACGCACTCGTCTGAGAAATAATTGATATGAGTACTGCAGTATATGAGAAGCCTAAATGTTCCCTATCTCCTGCTGACAGATCTCCAGAATCCGCCATGATATGTCTCTGAATAATAAAGGTATAATCTGTCCCTCTTCATAGTGAATTAGGGTCTGTAGATCATCTAGAGCTGCTTGTGCTCTCATTGTGTCTACATGTTTGTAGCACAAGATCTCTAGCATGTATAACAGTATAAGGGGTGGGATACCTAATGCAGATGATTTCTTCTGAAAAGCAGACTCTTGTTCTGGTATCAATTCACTGATGTAATGGATTTCATGGTAAAGTCTGTTAGCCCATGCTACAGTCTGTCTCATCTTTAGAGACCAGGACTGTCCCCTTACAGCCTCAGGATACATCTCTGGACCTAAATTAAAGTTATACATGTACGTCGCATATGGCTGTGCTAACTTGACCTTGATCATCTCTAAAACAGATAAAGCTTCCGTGTATCTAAGTGTCTTGTAATAATACAGAGCAATGTACAAGCTGTCAGAAATGAAACCAAACTTGGCTGCTAATTTCAGCATGTGACAGGAGATTTTGTCAGCTCTATACCTCAGTTTGTTTTTATGTGTGTAAGTTTCCATGTATACTATGAAAGCAGTTTTATGAAAGAGAGTAGATGTAAGTTTCTGTAACATAGGGACGTTATACTGCGTAATTAGGACTGAACCTACCAGCTGTTCTATTGTATGTAGGCATTTCATATACATCTGTATGTTGAAAAAGTAAAATGTTTCATTGCATCCTATTTCATAATAAAGGTATCTATCAAACTCATGCTCAAAAATCAGAGTATGTTCATCTGTACAGATGGAGAGTCTGGGATTATGAAGGACATCTATAATATAAGACCTAATGGAAGGGCTGTGTAGCAGGAATGTTAAACCCTTCTCATACAATCCATACAGTCTAGTAAATAGTTGATGTTGTTTTTCGCCATGAATTTTACTCAGAAACATGTTATCTGGAATGAAAAAGTTAGGACAGACCCCCTCATTTACCCAATTAAGGATGAGTTTAAAGCAGAGCCAGAAAGCCCCCAGAAGATTTTGTGGTCACCAGTGGGGTATAGTATTTTGTTGAATCACCCAGAAAACTGTTGTCTTCATGTGATAGGAACACAATAATTTATCATCATCACCTAGTCCATTGTTAATTATTTCTGTTAAGAACAGTTTAAGCAAGCCGTATGTTAGGAATTGACAATGATTCATTGCGTTCACTAGTTTTTGTTCTGCCAGAGAGAAAGAAATTCTCCATTCATGGTTCTCATGATTCCCTAGTTTATGCCCAACTGCTACAAAGTGACATCCATTTTTTACTATATCATCAACAACATGAGGCTGGGGCCAAGAGTGACATCTGTCTATCCAAGAGGAAGCGGGTGGAGGCCAAAAGTCACAAGCTAAACAGTAGGCAAAATCAAATTCTACTGTTAAGAATTTTGCACTGGCACAAGGTCCATGTGGAATGTAGTCTGAACACACGATTTGTCTGTATTTAGAACTAGATATATAATATCTGTTATACATTCTAACACAAGCTCTCTGGATGTCTCTGTTCATGCTTGGTGACAGTAAAGATAACAAAGTAAATCCTGGTGGACTATCAGAACAGTCACATATGATGAGTGTTTTTCTCTCTGTGTTGTAATACTGAGACTGAGATAATTCCCAGATCACACGGTGATCATTTGGCCAGTACATCATGTCTGTATCTGATCCTTCCAGTCTGAATCCTTCTCTTTGACTTCCACTCTTCATCATCCTTCGCCCATTAATTTGGTTCACTTGATTGTTCACCATCTCACTGATGTCCACCACATCTCTCCTCATGGCTACCAGTTGTGATGTCCCTACTTTACGACACAGTCCCACAAACACTGACTCTGATATGTGTTGTATGGCTGTCTTACTGTAAATAACCAACGTTAAGTTTAGCATATCTTTTTAAGTGTAACACTTATGTAAATCATTAGAAGTTATCATTCATAAGTTTGTTTATGTTCTACAAAAACAATCTAAATAAATATCTAATAACCACGTCTAAAGAATTAACCAAAGAAGATGTACAAAAGTAATTCAGATTGAAAGCACAAATGCGTTTTCGACCTTTTCATTGCAATGAATTGCGTCGTGTATCGTATGTTCTCAACTCATTATTGAAGTTGTCGTCCGCATGACCCTAGGGACGTGGTGACCGGTCAAGTAAATCAAAATTTGCAGCTCTCCATCGGCAAGTGGTTGCGTCTTCATATGAGCGAAGAATTCTCGAGAGAGACGTTAAACAACCAACAAACAGACATTATTAAAGAAATAAATTGAGGAAACATTCAAACGTCTACGATTCTTCTGACTGTGGCCTTTGATTTTGTATCAAAATATAAAACAGGGGTATATAATCTTTGATTAGTGTACATTTTAAAATGCACTGATTTCAATAACTAAGTGTTGTAAATTATAGAATTATACACCGCTGTCGTGAGAATATTAAATAGAATTCATTTTTTACACGGTTTCGGGTGCTGTACATAAATAAATCCATTAAATCGTCTTTCATTTTTTATGTTCCCATCTTTCAATGATTTATCTAAGTTAAAAATGGGAAAAAAAATTACCAAAATGGGGAAAAATGTTATAAGAATGTGTTGTCAGGTGTTTAAATATTGATTCAGATAGTGTAGATATTTTCAGTGAAAAATATTAATAATGAGACTTACATTTGTGAAGTTCTAGTGGAATCCATTTTTACACGTAAGATCTGAAAAAGTTTCAGATGCAATAAGTAATTAAAGCAAGTAAACTGAGATATTTATTGCCCCCCGCTTTCGGAGTCTCATTGGTTGAATTGCGAATAATTATAGCATTTTGCACCTGTTTTCTCTGTCCTGGATTTTTTCCCATACATACATTGTTTAGAATTTTAGAATAAATATATTTGGTGGAAAATAAAGGTAAAACATAAATTTCATAATACACAATTTAAATCACATCCTCTCTGACTTTTCCATGAGAGACAAAAAATCTTCCTTGTTGGTCTTAGAGACTGTGAGAAATACATGTATTAATTTATTTTATGTCCTGTCTGGACTTTTCTGATTTTTATTTAATTTGATTGCATTTATTTTTTTTAAATAATCTTTTTTCTTATGATGTAGACTCATCAAGAATGAGTATTATTCTCAAATATAAATGAACAAATAAATAAACGTGTGTGTACAATGTATGCGTTTGTTGGCTGGGGGGGGGGGGGTCTTTAGATGACTGAAATGTCCATACAAAATAAATAGAAAGACTATTAAATAAAAATTTTATCCATAGGTCAACTATATACTGCTTCAAAATATGCCGGCTAGATTTTCATTGAAAAATGCACTATGCCATCTGGCTATTGCATCAACCAAAAGAAGAATTAAGTGGAGATTTGGTCAAAGATTGTTAATGAGGACGCTGTTTAAATAAAGAAAGTCTAACGCGAGCTAAAAAATAAAATTTTATTCCTTGACAGGGCAAGAAAGATGCGAAAAGCTTCACTGAATTTCTATATTTAGAAGTTATAATGTTATTTTTACCTTCATATTAAGCTTTTCCAGTTTGCATGCTATTTAGATAGCAGCATAATTTGAAATATTAAGATAATATATTCGTTATTTTATTTCATTATTTCTTTAATGATATAACTATGTATCAATTTTAAATCAGGATTATTTATATTTCCTTTTCTTCATATTTTTAATATTACAAGAAATTACTGTTGGAACGCTTTTTGAAGGTTTTTAACAAAATTATAAGGATTTACAATCCATCCATTAAAAAAGTTTTATTTTGCAAAAGAGTAAAATGCAACTGCTGTAAATGTAGTGTATGTTCGTTTGTGAGTTATTTTTTGGCTTGAAAGAGGAAATACCAGAGATTTATAATTTTGAGAGGGAACATTATGAAGTCGGAAAATTTTGTAATTGTGTGTATCGGTTAAAATATAACACAGAGTTTGACACATCTGTTTCATACTTGGATATTTTACTTGAAAAAGATGTTAATGGTAATCTAACAAACAAGCTATATGATAAACGTGACAACTTTAACTTTTTTATCGTCATTTTCCCTTACTTATGCAGCAATATACCTTCATCACCTGAAAGCGGAGTATATATACATGTATCTCAGTTGATTCGATACGAAAGAGCATGCTCTACCTATGAACAACCATTTTCCATTTTATTCTTATCTTTAGTCTATAATCCAGTGACTGCAAGCATTTATAGATGGAATGACCAGTATTTACAAGCATACTTTTGAATTCAAGGGATGAAAAAGAATGTCTTTTTGAAATATATATAGTTATACACGTACAATTTTTAATTACAGTACTAGCAATTGCTTTAGGTATGGCCCATGCAAGATTAAATATGGTTTAATTTATTCAAAACCAAAAACAGGATAATTTTACTTTGACATGTTATAAAGTTGCCTGTTTTTATTTTGAATAGGAGTTATTCCTCTTGTACTAATTGAAACTTTAAACTGCTTTACTTTGGGAAGGACCCTAACATTTTAGAAAAGCAAAATATTATTGATTGCTTTTATTTATTGGTATTAATCTAATCTTTCTATTAACAATTGGTTCCAGGAATTTACGGAAGTTGGTACGAATTTAATCTTTTTGACACAAATCATTTTCACGCATAAACTTGGATATGATTTCATGTTCATTTAATTATTTTGTTTGTAGAAACATTCCGACATTCTAGACTTTTCCTCCGGAAATAAATTCTAGTTACATATTTACGTTCAAATCATTTGTGCATTTCTTGAAAAAATAAATTAATAACAAATAGAAAACCAAGTCATTAAAGCAATTTAAGAAAAATTATAAAAGATAATCAGAAAATGTACGTGTTGAGGAATCGAGAGCAAAAATTAATTGTTGTAGCAAACTATTTTTTCTGCCAATCAACCAGAGTTTAAACTGTGAATGTTGACAGTTTAGTGAATGTTTCAAAACAACCACCTTTCTGGTTCCCATGCTTTAGTCCCCTACAGCTGATAATCTTTCGGTCTTCAGATGAAGACGCTGTTAAATTAGTTGTCTTGGAAAGCATTTTTTTTTAAAGAAAAGATTATTTAATTAACTAGATTCAGGAATCTTATACATGTATATCGTATATGGCATCATGGTGTGAGACGTTGAAAAGCAGATAAAGAAAACAGAAAATTACACATGTTTGCAAGAATCAGCCAAATACAAAGATTTTTCCTCTTTTCATAAATTATAAGATATAGAACATATTTCTTTAAACATGACTTAAAAGCGAATAATTTGGAAAGGAATTGAAATAAATAATGTTGCCAGTTATATTTTTTTTTTTTTTTAGATGAACCACGTGATTTGAGACATTACTGCAGGCTGCTAATCAGGAGATGTTTGGGATCCGGAAGACTTAAGTATATACCGGAACTTCCGGTTCCCAAACTACTCCATCAATACCTGGATTTCCGGTGCTATATTGAAATTGTTTTTACTATATGTTATTCCGTTTTTGCTGTTTGTGCGAGGACTGTTTTGTTTGAAGAAGGGAATTTAATAAATTTGTTATAACAAAAGTAATGAATATCCCGTAATCTTTTTACCGTGTCCTCCTCCTTACTTTTTCGTAATTAAACTGCTATAAGAAGGATATGGAGATAACGAACAGTATTCAATATCAATGTCTATAAAACAATAAAAAATAGGAGCAGAACAAACACAGACCTCCGAAAAAGAGGTGGGATCAGGTGCCATGGAGAAGTGAGCATCTACTGCTGACCGGTCTCACCCGCCGTTTGCTCCCTGTCATGATCGAGAAATAACGGAAAATCCGTTGAAGCAGAAATTTCAGATGAACTGTGCTACAATATACTCAAAAAGTTACAAACAAGGGATTTATGAATGCCCGAGAACTTTTTAGCTCCACTGAGCCGAAGGCTGTCCGTCTATCTCTCTGTCTGTCTGTAAACTTTTCACATTTTCGACTTCTTCTCAAGAACCACTGGACCAGTTTCAACCAACTTGCCACAAAGTATCCTTGAGTGAAGGGGATTCAAGTTTGTTCAAATGAAGGGCCACGCCCTCATTCAAAGGGAGATAATTGGGAATTAATGAAAATTTGGTTGCATATTTTAAAAATCTTCTTCTCAAGAATCACTGTGCCAGGAAAGATGAAACTTATCGGGAAACATCCTCAGGTAGTGTAGATTCAAGTTTGTACAAATCATGACCCCCGAGGGGTAGGGCGGGGCCAAAACGGCCGACCAAATTTTTACATAGAAATATATAGGAAAATTCTTTAAAAATCTTCTTCCAAGAATGACAAAGCCATAATTCAACATATTTATATGGAAGGATGCTCAGGTAGTGTAGATTCAAGTTTGTTCAAATTATGACCCCCCGGGGTAGGGCGGGGCCAAAATGGCCGAACAAACTTTTACATAGAAATATATAGGAAAATTCTTTAAACATCTTCTTCTCAAGAATGACAAAGCCATAATTCATCATATTTATATGGAAGCATGTACAGGTAGTGTAGATTCAAGCTTGTTCAAATCATGACCCCCGGGGTAGGGCGGGGCCAAAATGGCCGACCAAAGTTTTGCATAGAAATATATTGGAAAATTCTTTAAAAATCTTCTTCCCAAGAATGACAAAGCCATAATTCATCATATTTATATGGAAGCATGCTCAGGTAGTGTAGATTCAAGCTTGTCCAAATCATGACCCCCGGGGGTAACGCGGGGCCAAAATGGCCGACCAAAGTTTTACATAGAAATATATACGAAAATTCTTAAAACATCTTCTTCTCAAGAATGACAAAGCCACAATTCATCATATTTATGTGGAAGCATGAACAGGTAGTGTAGATTCAAGTTTGTTCAAATCATGACCCCCCGGGGTAGGGCGGGGCCAAAATGGCCGACCAAATTTTTTAAAGATATATATAGGTAAATTCTATAAAAATCATTTTCTAAAAAATAGCAAATCC